AATCTTGAGATGGCAAAGAGGAAGGGAACAGAGGACAGAAAGGCAAAGCCGATGTCACGATATAGAGAAGCAGGGATAGGAATGGAGAAGGTTGTAAAAACTGACAGACAAAAGTCTTAATGTTCTGTTTAGATCTCAAAATTATTTCTCATACGTAGGCTGTATCTGTTTTGGAAATTTATTTTGCTTTGATGTACAGAACATTTGACAATCAATCCAATCTAGCGGTTTTCTGCATCTTTGCTACAGTTTATTGGCATTGATGGGAAACTATTTTTTTAAAGCAGTTATGGAGAACTCTACTTTCAATTTGCTGACACTTTCAATATCTCCTTTAGAAACATTCTGTTTTATGCATGAAGCCGTAGGTACCTCCAGCAATGAAAGACTATATTTCTTCAAGTTTGGAAAAAGGAGATAACATGTCTGACGTACTGCATTTCTTGGATGGCATCACCTTATGATGAAAATAGTCCTTTTTGGACCTCCATTTTAAGTTTTCCAGGAACTTTATATGTAGAGAACTTTCTAAAAGATTGCAAAAAAATCTTGGACTGTAGTACCAATACAAGCTATGCTTTCTGAAGTTTGTAGCTGTGTAGTGTTCTTCTGTAGAGCCTTTCAGAAAAATCTTGCTTATAATAAAATTATTTTTGTAATAAGAGCATTCCCTCCCAGAAAGAGCCAGGGTATTGGAAACTGATTATATTATTCTGTGTACATGCTTATCCCCCTCCCCTGTGTTGTTTTCAGCCATATGGTATCAGAACTCTACCTGGAAATTAAGAAATATAAAAGGAGAAATTAAGCATATTTTGTAGGATTCTTTGCTTAAGTTTTTTTTTTTTATGACTTAGAAAGCACCCCGTGGGTTTTGAAATAGTCCAGGCTGGGGACACTGCACAAAATGTATTTATGCTCTACTTTGTTGTAGAAAGCTTAATTCAGTCTCTCTGGGATGATCTAGAAACAATTTCCCTTGCCCACAAATGTGCCCAAAATCATATAAATTTGCAAATTTTATTTTTCCCTCTTGGGACATATCTTCTTGTCAATTTTCATAGAATCTCATGAGTCTACCCAAAGTGCCCTACAGTGAAAAGGATAGGTAATCATAAAAAAGATTAAAATACAAACCCTATCAACTTAGTCATCTGTTTGGCAGAACAGCTTAATATATTTTATTTACAATACATAACTCCTCCTTTAACTGACTCCATCTCATCTGTGAAGAGATTTTCAGCGTTCAAGCTCTACACTTAAATGTCAGAATAACTTAAAACATATGTACTATATTTTCTATTTTTTGAGCATGATACAGTCCTATACTACCCATATGTTCCATAGATTTCTATTGTAGAGAAGGCAGTAATTAGTGGACATCAGGTATAACCACAGAATACCTTTTGTATTAAATAGAATTTTTTAGAATGAAGCTCTAAGAAGTGGTTGCAAATATGAAATGTTTTATCTTGAATAGATAAATGCTCTCTCTTCTACTATTTTGAATCCACTCTCATACTTCTCTTGAAGTGCTTCAGTATGGTTTTAATTTCTGTTACAGTTTAATTTAATTGAGTGAGATTTGCAGAGGGGTAAAGTACTTACAGCGCCTTGTCTTGTTTTGCTTTTCAATTCTGGGTTTGTGTAGTTTACACTGTCTTCATTTTCATCAGTGTGGTCACTTAATCTAGATATTTAAATTTGAAATTATACTTGTGTAAGAGTCGAATTTTGGAAATGTAATGCTAGGTGTGCATATAATAGTATGATTTACAAATTTCAGATTTGGGAAAATAATTAGCTGAAAGACAGCATGTGGTGAAGTGGCCAAAACGTTTGGCTGTGTGCTCAGTGGTTTTTCTAAAGTTGGTAGTCATAAATGCAGTTATTAATCACACCGAAGTCTGAGAAATTCAAGGCCACCGGGTGAGTTTGCAAGTGTGCTCTGTCATCCCTGAAAGGCAACAGAGGTCACCTAGTCCCCAGTGACTAGAAAAAGGCAAAGTGCTGTACCTATCTTAAAAAAAGGCTGAAAATACCATTTGGGGAACTAGAGGCGACTCAGCCTTACTGTGGGGCTGTGGGGAAAATTGTGGACCAAAACATCTTGGAAAACATTTTTAGACACACGGACAGAAGAAGTTGCCTGAAAATGTATTTTTGCCTCACTTGAAATTTTGAATTGCACCAAATCTCCTACCTTACTGCATTCAGGAAGGTATTATGTATGTACTGCATATATTGTCTATGTACTGCATACTTTATGAATAAACTAGTTATCCAGAAGTTAGAGGTAGGCAGTAACCATAGGAGAGCAGTAGGAAGTAGTGTTTTTATGATATGTATGATATGAAAGGTGGTCCTTGTGTTTTGCATTGATTGCAGCTTTGTGCACAGACCAGGGCTTTTTTAAATTTTCTTAGGTAACTCCTTTAAATTACAAAGAGATGGAAGGCAGATATTGCCATTTAAAGATCTGATTAAAAAAGAACAGATCCATTTAGCAAATGAGTCGAAATACTACCTATTAAATCAGATGGTTTTTGAAAAAAACCCCACAACCCAACCAACAACATCTGTATTGCGTCTCAGATGGAAGTGTGCTGAGGTTCCTGTGTCTGTTACTGTAGAACATACAATGTTTATCCCTGGAGTCACTCATTTTGCCAGTACAGTAAATGAATAAAACTTCCGACCTGATGTGGCAAAACCTAATATCTAGACGAATTGAGTGAGAATGTCTCAGTGGTTTTTTTCATTTGCTTTTGGTTGGGTTTTTTTATTTTGTTTTGTTTTTTAAATGTCGCTGGTAAAGACACCTGTGTGTTGTCCAGGGTAAAAACACCTTCCTCAGCAGTGGCACTGCTCTTTAGTTGGAGACACTAGAAGGTAGCATACGCCACTGCTTTTAACCTCAGAGCTGACGGAAGCTTGGCCTGGATAAAATCAAGATGTTGGCTGAAGCAATCAAAAAAAAATGATGGATTTGAGACTTTTTGATTTATTATGCCTTTTAGTTATTCAAGTTCACAGTCTAAGTAAATCACAAATTTCTGCTAAACTCCGGGAGCTGCAGCTCCTTGTTTTGTTTAGTTTCTGTGCTTTGTGAGCTAGAAATATGAAGTTTTCCAGTCACTTATAATTTTGGTGACATCCAATATGGATTAGTCTTACTTTGCTGAGTAAACAATGTCTATATAAGCTATGTAAAATTCAGGCTCATGTTCTGGAGATAATAGTGCTTTGCATTTACTTTCCAGATGAGGTACAAATACTTGCCGTTCAGAAAAAATAATTGTACAACTTAGCAATTGAGCAACTGTGTTGTTCTGATGCTTCACCCTGGTGTTTCAGAAATTCGGTATATTTTAACAAAGCGCCTACAGAAATAGTCTTATTAAGATTACAGAAATTATGAAGGAATTGACTAAGATTTTGCTGTGCCACGTGACATTAACGGTGTGTTGTGTGGCCTTCAAAGAACCTATAGTCTAAATGAGTAGAAAGAGATGTGGACTTGGGAACTGTTACGAAGCACAGTGGAAGACAGGAAAAATGGCAAAACCAAGTGTTGTTGACATGGCATTATCTTGTTATGGGTGTGTTTTTTAGGAGTTCACGTTAAAGTCAAGAGAAAGGGCTGGGGAGAAAGCTAAGGGAGTCCTGGAGAGTGATAAGAGTGAGAGCTGCTGCTCACTTTTACCCCAAAAGTGAGTAGAGAAATGCAATGTGGACGAAGGGGGGGGGCTGGAGGAAATGGTGCATAACAGAAACATTCCAGTCAACTCCAAACATTTTTGGTGTGCAAAGAGCATTGGTTAGGATGCTCTTTACAGCTGCCCTTGCTGCCTGGCATGTGTCCTGTTCTTCCCGCAGCAGCACACTGTGGAGATGTAGGGTATCTTTTGGGTTCCTGTACCCCAAGGATGTGAGGGGCTCCCCAGCCAAGTCCTGAGCCCTGCAGCCTCTGCCAGACCCTGTGTTCGCCTCCTCGCCAAGCACAAAAGTCCCAGATTTAGCTCCTTCTGCAACTCCCCCAACCATCTGGAGTCCGTGCCTCCTTCAGAGCAGCAGGACTAAAGTAGAAACCTAAGAATGGGGTGTGTTTGCATCAGTGCAGACTACTCTTGTCGTCTTTTTTTAAAATTTTAATTAATATTTGTACATCTGTGTATCTTCAGGAAAATAATGTAAATAAAATGGAATGTTTAATATATTGTTTTATGCTATTCTGAAATAACTTTTTAAAAACTCATTAGAAGCTTTAAAATAGGTTGGCTCTTTTAAGCTTTCACACTGGAAAAATCTAAATTTTGAAATGCATGACTTGTGGAGGAGGGAAGAGGCTGGGTATTTAAATGACGGTGTATCCTTTCCCCTTTTGAAAGAACCAAAGCACACTGCATTTTTAATGTTGGTAACTCCCCATTAAAAACTTTAAATGCTCCTAAATGATTTTAACTTGCTGAAGGACTGCCTTTTTCTTTCAGATGTGTTAGAATTCATACTAGCGCTACTTTGCCCTTGTTTCTGAATTATTTTAATGACGGCAGCCGCTCCACGAAGCTGTCTGTCAAGATGTGGGTGGCAGGCTATTATTTCACTTCATAAATCATAATTTACAGGGTTTTTTATATCCATCTTGGGGATAAACACTTTATGCTTTGTGTTTTCAGCAGCAATATAAAATGTAATTGATACTTAAAGCAATATGTTAGAAATATGGACACAGAAAGCCAGGAGAGAAAAATCACAAATGTTTAGTTTTTCTGTGGGTTGGTCTACATACTGAGCATTTTTTCCATCTGATTTCATATTCTTAGCACTTCAACAGAGGATGATGATGAATTACATTTACATGATTGCTGCCTGTAGGTTACTATAAGGATGTTTCTTTAGTTACAGACACTCAACAGATCAGTTAGCTCAACAGGGTCATTTTGTACCATTTCTCGTGCTGCTAAATATACTCATCATTTTGTGTTATTGTCTTCCAGATTCATGAAAAACTGCATTATTATGAAAAACAGAACCCGGTGCCCATACTCCATGGTGCAGCAGCCTTGGCAGATGATGTAAGTGTCCCCTGCTGAGATCACTGGTACCAAGTCTCCCAAAAAACTGTCTGCAAGCAGAACTCCTCATAGTGCAAACATGTGAATGTAATCCTCTGAGCTGAAATCATAAGAAGCTGCAAATGTTTCCAAAGGTGCTGTCATCACCGGGCTTGTTGCTGATATTACTTTGATTTTTTTATTCACTTGCCTGTTATAAAAACATTGCATCTAGATAGCCTCTTGTTCTGCTTTAGTAACTACGTAATAGAAATTACAGGTTGGAACTCTACTGGGAGGGGAAAAGCTGTCAACTATTAGTGTTTTGAGAAGGTCAGAGACAAGAGGAATGCTTTGGAAAAATAAAGACAAATGAGATAGCAGCACTGCTGACAGAACATGAAAAATGACAGATAATACTACAGAAATGGAGCATATGAAATGCCTAGGAAGGAGGCTTGTTAAAAAAAAATAAAAAGCTATATAAGAAAAAGTACAGTAGTGATTTATTGATATTGGAGCTCTCCAAATTACCTTCGTAACCAAAAAATAAATTGTAAAAGTGGTCGGCATTGATGGAGTAGTTAATTTCCTGTTACTATAATTTTTATTTTAAAGAAAAAAATCCAACCTGCCATTTCTTGCTATTTGGTTAATTCTAGGATTCAGATGAATTGTGCACACACCTGTATAAACTATGACTGAACCTGAGGTAGGCCAGGATAGAGAAATGTTTAATAAACTGTGGTTTAGGTGAAATCCAGAAATCTTTGTTGCAATTGATGATCTCAGGTTGTGTTCTGGAAAAGGCAGTATGTATTAGGATCAGTTTCAAATACAACATGTTTGAAACTTCACATACTTTATAGATGTTTTAAAATCTTAACTATCCTTTTATATAATTATTGGCTTTTGATTTTTAAGTTTTACAAGCGGTTGATGTTGTGAATTGAGAATGGTAACATTTTAACAAAAAACTAAATTAAACGTTGGCAGTCAGTTGAAAATAGGATATAATGTACTTCATCGTGCATCAGTAGGAGGAGAGCTATATCGTGTAACATACAAGATACAATAATGCATTAGCTTTGACATCAGGCATATACTAGTAATATTTTTTTAACCTTCAAGTAGCTCTGAATAATGTTGATAGTAATTTTGAAAATTAGAAAGCTGATCGAAATTCTCTTCATTAAGTTCTTGGTGACATATTAATAATCCTCGTTAACGTTTGTGTTACGGATCTCTGGGCTAAAATTCTTAATAGGAATCATTTCTTATTTTTGGATGCAAAACTTAGCTCTTGGTATTTTCAGAAATGCTGAGCAATCTCATTCTTTGTTCAGCTCCATTTAAAATGTATACTTTTGGAAATCCCCAAATTAAAGTACTCTGTCACTCCTCAGTTGAGAGAGGTCGGGCTTTTAACCGTATGAATATATTATTATGCATATATATGGTAGTATTTTTAAAATGTACCTATGTTAGGACAGGAGTTTCTCTAGACATCTGCCTTCTTTTTAAGCACAGTTGCTATTTAAACAACCTTTGCTGGTTCTTCATTTCTACTTATGTGGAGCTGAACAGCTGGTTTTATGGGCAGCATCGCATAGAATGAGGATGTCCTTTGGCAGCTGGCAGGCACACTGCAGGGCTCTGTGCTTCAGTACCTATCAGCAAACCTTGAGGAAGTTAATTTACATGCAGTGGGTTTTGTCACTCCAAACCCCATGAAGTTCCAAGATTAAAGTGCTCTTCAATTTTTGGCACGTTTGTCTAACTAGTTGTCAGCTTCAGGGATTTAAGAGCAGGTTGGTGATATAAAATACACTTTTATTTCGGTGGGCTTTAAATTAATGTTTTATTTTCCTAGTGATAGTAACTGTTCTATAGTTAAACAAAGGAGGAGATATTCTTATTAACAAGTGCGTATTTCCTCTGGTTTAAAATGCAAATTTGAGGTGCTGCTAATCTAACTAAAAACTGTTTAAGAGGTGTGTTCTTCTTTTTGTGTTATTTTATAAAGCAATTTCAGAGGCAACAATTGTGGTGAGGCTTCTTTTCTAAACACTTTCATACTCCTAGCTGCCATAAGATCTCTCACCTCACCCCCAGTGAGCAACAGTGTCTGATGCAGGACTCCTGATTTCATGCAGATGTAATCATTGTTATCATAGGTCTATGGCAGGTAAGCCCTCTAGGTTATTAGAAAGACGGTTCTGGCAAAAGATGTTTCAAAACTTTCTCCAGAAGCTTTACACCCCAAGGCCCTGATGCTCCTCATCTCACCAGCCTCACTCCACATCTGCCCTTCTCCCTTGCTTTGTTTTGCCCTCTCTGTAGCGGCAGCTCTTCATAAAGAACTTCGTGAAATGTTATGGTTCCCTCAACAGAGAGTCACAGAAGAGGTTCTCAGTCAGCTTTTCCTGCAGTCTTTGGCACAGGAGGTGATCAGCACAGTTTCAGTGTGCCTGCTGCTGGCAGCTGTCACAAATCTTGGCTCTTCAACAACAACAACTAAAAATCCAGTCCAAAACTGGTAGAAGCACAAGAAGCGGCTCTGGTGATACCCGTTTGCTAATCTGGAAACATGGCTTTGTCTTCCCCCTCTGTCAATCTTTATCTGCCTCCTCCTCATGAAACATGGGGTGTTACATGGTCCTTTTATGGAAATGTTTGGAAAAAGCTCGTAAATTACACTAGTGAAAACAAATTTTCAATTATTTAATCTCTGAACAAATATTTCCTAAATTGTGAGACTAAAAAGCCTGTTAAAGCAATTACAAAATATTCTTTCTGTTTCTCACTGTGCCTTATGTACCTGCACTTATATTCACATCACCAAAGCAAACGCCAATTCTGCTGAAGTTAATAGATGCTTGTGCACAATTCATCTGAGAGAAATGCTGAAGCAGTCATTCTTACTGAGTGATTACTAGTTCTCATCAATGAGACACAAATGAATAGATTTTCTTCCCTAGTGATGAGTAGTACAAGCTAAAGAATGAACCATGGGGAACCTGTGTCATATACTTCCTGTCATTCCTCTCATGGTTCATTTTCAGCTTGGTAGAGCTTTTCCATAGAACGTCCAGACTAGATTGCAGTCAGATTACCTCAATACTTGGCTTTCTGTGCCTAAAATATTTCATTTTGACCTTTCCTACAGAGATCGTTTACTAATCTTTTGGTATTAAGACACAAATATTGTTAAGATTAGCGCTGATGTATCTGATGGACGTTTTTATCTATGAGTTATAGTTAAAAGGCTGTGGGACTATAGGTGATGAGTTTTTCTTTCAGTCCCGTTGCCTCTGTATTAATTTGAAGGTTAAAAAAAAAGCATTCAAACCATGTCTGATGTCTATAATTGCTTCTACAATTGTCTATTACATATAATTACGCAAAATATACTTCGATCCATTTATCTTGACAATGTATACAAAATGAAAGTACAAATTTAAAATTTGGCTAGACAAATAGAATTACTTGCTGCAAATAACCAATCTTTCTTTGAGACGTTTTTATGGTACTGATTTAATGCAAAGAAAATAAGTGATTATCTGAAATCACGTTTTGGATTATGAGCCATGTAGCTTCAGAACTTTAAACTAAAGTTCAGTGTTGTGAAATATGTTTTAGCTTTTCCTTCTTCTGGAAAAACAGTTCAAGTCTGAAATCCTGCAGTAAAATATGCCTCTTGAGTCCAAATTAGTTGAGAATGTCGTGATAAGAAGAACTCAAGACATGAGCCAAAGAGCCAAGGGATTAAACGTTAGACTGCTGCTCTATTGTTCACCAAACCACAATTTTGTAGTATAACCAAACATAAATTACTGATCTTGTTGTTAGGACGTAGCTTGTGCATTTTAGGGGCTTGAATTGCTGATGACCTGTTATAAACTATATTATGATTAACCCGCTCCACGTTTAACAAGCTCCTTCCAGTGTATGTGTAAACATAATAAAAGGTTCAGATTGCTTGCGCTGTAGGGGCACTTTGCTTTCTTATCCCAGTTCTAAACAGCACAGCTACTGTGGGTTTTTGGAAGCAGTGTGGATTTCACCACCTCATTCAAAACTGTTTTTTATAGACAGTGTCAAAGTTTGATCCAGTCGTTTTTACAAGCAGTCCTTTGTCTGCACGCAAAGGACCATTCACTTAAATGAAGTGCTGGGATTTGCCCCCATCGCTATAAATCAGAATGTGATCTGGCTGCACCCTTGCCAGAAATGATTACTTGTGTTAAACTGAGCCAAAAGGCCTGGCTTAAATCTGGTCCACCGAGGGCCAGAAAAAGAAGCGCGGTGATTGATGGTGTTTTTCTTCATGCTGGCTTCTGTTTGAACACGCTGGAAAGTAATAACCTTGAACAAGATAGATTCTGGGTTGTCACTGATGCACTGGGTAAAACACCGCTTTGCTAATGGTCTCTGTGTCAATTCCATCTCCCACCCAGCTGGCTGAGGAGCTGCAGAGCAAGCCACTGAGCAGCGAGATCAGAGAACTGTTGAAACTCCTCTCAAAACCCAATCTCAAGGTGAGGATGTGTTGCACCTGCAAAGTGCTTTCTGCCTAGGTGTCTGCGTCTGCTCCCTCGGGCTGCCTGGGGGCTTGCCTGCTTTAATGGATAGGTGTGCTTTTAAGAAGGGATTCAGTGTTAGTCAGAAATACCTGTTATGAAGAGACACATTTAATATTGCCCGTAAATTATTATGCTGTTACTGATATTTGTAAAAGGAATTCAGTAGAAAGCCATTGTTTATTTGCAATAGATATTCCAAAAAGTAGATTCTTGATTTTTATTTTTTTTGGTCTTTTGCTAACTTTTATTGCATACTGTACTTCATAAATGTATTAAAAATTTGGGTTTGCTAAAGGGTTTTTAGTCATACCGTTGATTTAATTGCACTGTCCCTAAGTAACACAACTTGGTATTTGGAACAAAATTCCTGATGGATATTATTTTTTTAAAAAAGCTAATATTGAAAACTCCTAGGGTCCTCTGTGGTGCTTTTCTCAAACTTGACACCTTTTATCTGACAGTAGGCTGTAGAACCATTGAATCGCTCAGGTTGGTAGGAGGTTGTGTAGACCAACGTGCTGCTCAAAGGTCAATGCTGAGTTAGAGCAGGTGGCTCAGGGCCATCAGGTCTTGAAAGTGGCTGGGAGCAGATGCTCCACAACCTTTTGTGTGCAGCCCACTCCAGTTACTAATTACCCTCCAAGTAAAAACTGCTTCCTTATAACCAGTTAGAATCTCCTGGGTGTATCTGTATTAATGCACACCATCAGATTACTTTGCCACTCCAAAGAGAACAAAGAAATTAGTGCTTTAGTTGTGCATTGCAATGCTAATTAAATGCAGCAGTTGATAAGTTTAGAGGAAAAACTGTGGAGTGGAAGAGAGCCCTTTCTAAGACAGTTGCTTCTTTATGTTCCCTGTAAAACATGGATCTCAAAATCTGAGACACTACAATATCTTCAGAGTGCTATAGAATTTTAAAGATCAATTATGTCTCCTTTTTAAAGATTTTTGCACAGTTGGTTATTCTGTAGTTTGCAAAGTGACAAGCTGCTTTTTGCTGAAAGGGTGAGCAATGCCAATGGTGTATTACAAGAGGAAATGTTGGTGCATCAAATTGCAGAGATTCTAAGCTTCACTGGAGGTATTTCCTTAGCCACTGTCCACGTGTGTTTCGTACTTCTGAAGCTTTAGGGGATTGAGTCTGAAGACAGCTCATTTGCCACAACTGCATCTCTCCTGCTTCCTTTTTGGCTTTCTCTTTCTCTTCCCCCCCTTTACCAGCTTGCTCCCCCTTACTCACTCGCTGTCTGTTCCTTGGAAGCAATTAAATGCAATGTGATAATCTAAGTGGGATTTCAGGAAAAGAAGTGCTTTACCCTCAGTGTGGTTAATATGATTGAACCATTGCAGTAACTCAGCAAACGTCTTTCTTGGCTGGAGGAGATGGCCAGCAGCAGGGTACCGAGCCCGTTGGGTGGCCAGGCTGTCTAACCCTGCAGAAGGCACACACATTCCCTGCCCGGTGTAGCCTGCAGGTGTTTGTGAGAGCTAGGGGAAAGAACTGACTTTATGCCTGATATTTTTGCTTATCCGTTATCTTCTCCATCCACCTTTTCACAGCAAACATGCCTGGGAGAGATGGTAAATATCACTGCTCCCTCCTTCATCATGTTGACCAGATGACAGTGTGGGACTCAGTATTTCCAGTTCCTACCCAGAGACGCCCTCGAGTCTGCTCAGCTGTATCTGAGCTTATGCCATACATTGCATAAGATTTTCTAGCCCTTCACTATTAGGATGATGGCTCGAGACGGTCTCTTTGTTCCTTTCCTTCTAGATTTCTGGGGCAAAACGATGCCTAGAACAACTCTTTCCCCACACATTTGAAATTACTTGGGATAACTGATATGTCTTTTCCAATGATGTTGTGAAGGCTTTATCTAAAAACTTGTGTATGGTGTAAAGTGGGATTGACTTAAGCTGGCTCCATGTTATTCTGCAGGGGAAACCTTCCTCTCCTGACCTGGTTTATAGCTGCAGTGTTAGCTGGAGCCAGCAGGAGAGCTTCCACTTCCCTGCAGCTCTGCTCTGATGTTCACGGAACACTGAAGGATGGTTAGGATTAGTTTACTGCTCCACATCACTGTTTCCACAAGTTCGGTGGTGTAAAGAGAGAGGTCTAGGAAGATGATTATAACTTCACGGGTTTGGTTAAGATGCCAAAAAATGCTGGGAGACATTTCCAGCACATGTCTGATTAGGTGAATATTTTTATATTTTGATTTTGTTTTACAAAATTATGTTGAATATATTCATGAATGTTTACATCTGATGAGTAAAGCTTGGACAAGTTTGTGGTATTCATGGTTTCCATTCATAGAGAAATGATTCAAAGAAGAAAATAATTTCACTGAGGAAGTTATATTTATCAGACCTGAGATTTTCAAAATCTCAAAAGTCATTTCAAGGTTTTGTCAGATGCATTTTCTTTTGGGAAAAAAAATAAATTGGACATTTCTGATCATTTAAAAACTGGACGCAATATCAATATACACCAAGGGGAGTGTTTTTCCATGCTCTAAATGTGGCGTCCCTTACCAAAATTAAACCAACTAATAATGGTTGTGGTTTATCTTGTCTGATTAAAACAGAGTTCTGAAAGTAGAACAGAGCACGTAGCTCTGGGACATGAAGTGGATTTGTTTATCTGTGTGGGAGATACTGCATTTACATTCTAGATTTAAAATATAATTGCATCCCATGGATGCAGGCCAGCCACATCTATTGTTTTTAATTTTCCAATGTTGAGTAAAGACTTACAGTTTACATTCTGTAATCCTGCTATACCTTGTTAAAGTTAACAGCAAGTAGAACAATATTTCTGTACCTTAGAACCTGAATCCGGTTGAATGCAGTATTTGCTTTTTAAACAGACCAGAAATTAGGTCTTTGAAATGCATCTTGTTATCTGTCAGTCAGAAAGAATTAAGTAAATGTATATCTTCAGCTATTTTCTGTCCTAACTGCAAGTGTGTGATCAAATGTTTACAATCAGTTGAGGAAGGTAACTGTTAATAAATGTTTACACTTCAAGGATGTATGTACGCAAGTTTATAAGGTCTGCTGAGCTGGTTGTTAAAAAACAGCTTAAGAGTTTAACTTGTCAAAGTTAGAATGATGGTAAATAACCAGAACTAGATGTACTGAAACTTACGTTGCTGTGCTTGTGTTTCTTAAAGCTGTGAGGGGTGTGGGGAGTTTGTTTGGTTCGTTTTATTAAGTTGCAATGAAATATATATGTTAAAGGTATAAAACATAAGGCTGCATAAGTGCCTGGTGGTGCCAGGCCAGCCTGCGGGCAGCGCTGCGCGGCTCTGCCCTGAATGGGGTTTGGCCCCAAGGGAGGACACGCTTGGGTGATTGGAAATAGGAGCAGATCAGGCTTGGAGGTGCCTGCCCTAGCTCTCTGCGGACGTAGTTTAGGTTACTGAAAGTGAAATTTGGGTGTTTCACAGCTGCCTGCCTTCCCTGGGTATTGCAGCAGCAGCACTCCCCGTGTGTCTGCGTGGCGGTGGGAGAGGCTGTGGGCATCTCCAGCTCTTCCCCTCCTGCTCAGCTCTCACAAGGAGCTTGCAGCATCTGTTAAACCTTTCTATTTGTTTAACATAGAAGCCAATGCTTTAAATTAATTGCATATTGGGTAATCTGTGTAGCGCTACTACCATTTCCATTGTAGTGTTAGGTGGTGTGGTACGGCTGTTACACCCTCACAGCAAGGAGAAAAGGAGGGAGGGCTGCAGTGCTGTCTGGAAGGTTTTATTCTATATTATTCGGTCTAGTGGGCTGCATTTGAAGGTGGTAAGTCCTGGCTGGTGTGGGAATGGGTACTGCACCCACTCCTGGCTTTTTCCTCACTTCCTGGAGTGACTTTTTAAGACCTATGTAATTCCTGAGGTGTAACCATGAATTAGATTATTTTTAACTCTATTTCAAGCTTACTTTGCTTGTTTTATGAAGAAAGCATTTAGAAGATAGTTTGTGTTTTCAAGATTTGAGTTTTACATTCCAGTGTTGTTGATGGATTTACATTTACATTGAAGTTACATGATTTCCTACATGTTTTAGTGAAACGCGAGGCACTTATGCACACGGAAAACAATATTTTACAAAAAGAAAGGAAGAAATGTCCCTTACCTTCCTTGTGTAATGACAACATTAAAGTTACTTAATGCTTGACATAACACTAAACATCTCTCTTACAGGAGACTTATTTTGTTTTATGTTTTCTATAACATGAAGACCAGAATACATAGTGTGAACATACATGGGGAGATGGTGTCTCTGATTTCAGAGAAGATACTCCTATGTGTGCTTTTGTAAAAAAAATTATGGATAATAGCAGAAAGAAATAAGTGTTCTCAGCTTTGATAGTTTATAATCTGGAGAAATTTAGTGAATTTATGTGGCAGCAAGCAGAACATATGTGAAGAGGGAGGTTGTACAGAATTGTGAAAATAATGACCAAAATTTTTAAAATTAGGGTGCATCAGGTAGGCACCAGTGCAATTAAGAGAGATGTCTTTATAGAGCAATTTGACTTTTTTATGAACCTGGAAGTATTGCTGTTTTCTGAAAGGACTAGGGTTACATTATCTAGAGACAAAATACTTTATTTTTAATTGTTATGCAGTTGTATAAATTGGAATATATAATTGGAAGTCTATGATTCAAGATGTTAACACAAAATATAACAGAATTTAATTCTGGATTTTTAATGCACATGTCACAATGAAGTTAGCAAAATGGTCTTACCTGTCAATAGAGACCCAAATGGGAATTGAGGTGGACACTAGAGTTATTCTGTCAGTCATGGGGCAGAACCTTAGTGACAGACAGTGTAAGAAAGGAGATGTAGTAAATATGACATATGATGAAACTAAGAATGATAGATTTTAAAGCTTCCAAATTCTCTTCCACTTTCAATTAAAAAGCTTTAGTGAATAATAGCTCTC